CGCGTGCCACCAAGCCCAGCTAATTTTTGTATTTTTTAAGTAGAGACGGGGTTTCACCATGTTGACCAGGATGATCTCAATCTCTTGACCTTGTGATCCACTCGCCTCGGCCTCCCAAAGTGCTGGGATTACAGGCGCAAGCCACCGCGCCTGGCCGGAATACTGATTTTTAAGTTACGGATAAATTTTGGTAAGTAGGCTGAATCCATGATCTGGATCTACAAGTAATGAGAATCAACTATACTTAGAGTTTTATTTTTGGACCTGTAAGAAAAATCTGTCTTGAATTTTTTGTTTTTGTTTTTGAGACAGGGTCTCGCTCTGTTGCCCAGGCTGGAATGCAGTGGCTCATTCTCAGCTCACTCCAGTCTCTGCCTCCTGGGCTCAAGAGATCCCTCCACCTCAGCCTTCTGAATACCTAGGCTACCAGCATGCGCCACCATGCCTGGCCAATTTTTGTGTTTTTTGTAGAGTCAGGGTATTGCCATGTTGCCTAGGGTTTAAATTTCCATAGGCAGTTTATGTAGTTATTCAGAAACTTGTTGGGTTTCTACTGTATGTGAAGTGCTGATATAGACATTAGAGATATATCAGTAAATAAGACTTACTAGATTTTCTTGCTTTCTTAGAGTTTACATTTTTGTGGCTCGGAAAAAAGCAAAGAAAAAAATTGTTTGAACAGTTATAGAATGTGAAAATTGCCATGAAAGAAATAAAAAGGACAGTTTCATAGACAGTAATTGGTGGACAGAGTTTAGGTGGAATGTTTCGGGAAACCATCTCCAAGGGGGAGAAATTGTAACTAAGATCTGAACATTGAAAAGGAGCCAGTATGTAAAGAGATGAGCTAGGAACACTCCTGATAGAGGGAATAATAGGTGCAAAGGGAGATAGAGAAAAGTGTTTTAGGAAATTATTAGCTGGGCATGGTGGCTTATTGGAAATTGTAAGATCACCAATTAAGATCTACATTTACTTCCACTAGCCATAGTAATGGGCTGAAAGCTACTAGCAGAAAAGGCAAGGTAATATTAGCTAGTTTTTCTAGAGTATAACCTTTTCTCAGACCCTTGATTATAACTGATTTGTGTTTCTTCCTTTCCCTGCCTTCTTTCTTGGTCCTTGGATAGTATATAAGTTGTTGTTGAACAGAACTGAGCATTTTCTCCCTTGATTCTTTACATTGTCATTAATTATTTGATGTTATTCTGATGTCTTTGTACAATTAGGCACAAGACAACAGCAACTCTGTAAAGAAGAAGACAAAGTTTGTCAATTTATACACAAGAGAGGGACAGGACAGACTTGCAGTCCTGCTCCCTGGTCGCCACCCTTGTGATTGCCTGGGCCAGAAGCACAAGCTCATCAATAACTGTCTCATCTGTGGGCGCATTGTCTGTGAACAAGAGGGCTCTGGCCCTTGCTTATTCTGTGGCACTCTGGTAAATTATTTCTTTTCTATTTTCTTTTACTGTGCTTTGTGTTAACATGCAGGGCCACTCAGATTTCAAGTCATTTCTCTGTTTCTTAGTAAATTTCTTCCCTAAGATATCCAGTGAACTCTAGTAGCAGGGATATGATTAGTTAGAAACCCAAGGTTAGGCCAGGCACAGTGGCTCACACTTGTAGTCCCAACACTTTGGGAGGCCAAGACAGGTTTTGGGAGTCTGAGTTGGGAGGATCACTTGAGCCCAAGAGTTTGAGACCAGCCTGGGCAATGTAGGAAGACCCTGTCTCTACAAAAAAAATGTTTTTAATTAGCTGGGTGTGGTGATGTGCACCTGTGGTAGCAGTTACATGAGGGGTTAAAGTAGGAGCTTCATTTGATCCCAGGAGGCCCAGGCCACAGTGAGAGAACAAGTCCTTTTCTCAAAAAAAGAGTAGAAAGAAACTCCAGGTTATATCCTAATACTGAGGCCGTTAGAGAGAAGGGTTTTGAGAACATACATTGTTGAGAGATCCAAGTCTTCTTGTGTCAGATTAACTTTAAGAAAACTATAAGGCCTGAAATGTCAAAATTTTTTGGGTGTGGATCCTAGCCCTAGGAGAACAGAGCTTCTGTGACATAATCCTCAGGTCATTATAGCTTCTATTTCTAGGATACCACCTTGTCATAGCTCTGCTTTGTCTGAGAGAATGACCTCAAGAATGTAGTGATAATGACTCACAAAAACCCTTAATGAGCTATCTAGAAAGCTGCTTCTACCAAGTTGAGCTGGCTGGCAGAAGGAATGTGACATTCAGTGTTGGTAAAGGCATCCATTTCATAGTACTTCATTTTCTTCTCTTTTCTGATTGGGCCCTTAATTTATTCTTTAAGAAAAAATCTCACTTTGTCACCTAGACTAGAGTGCAGTGGCACAATCTCGGCTGACTGCAACCTCCGCCTCCCAGGTTCAAGCACCTCTCCTGTCCCAGCCTCCCTAGTAGCTGGGACCACAGGCGCACACCACCATACCCAGCTAACTTTTTTGTATTTTTAGTAGAGACAGGTTTTCACCATATTGGTCAGGCTGGTCTTGAACTCCTGACCTCAGGTGATCCACCCACCTCAGCCTCCCAAAGTGCTGGGATTACAGGCATGAGCCACTGTGCCCGGTGGGACACCTAATTTTTTCATACGCTCAGAATAAGCTGATAGACAATGGATGATCTGAAAAATGTAATGCCTACCAGTAAAAATGTCCATTAAAGTAAATCTCCTCCCATTTGGAGCTTTCTCTTTAGAGCAAGCTCTTATAGCTGCTTGCAGGAACTCTGTGTGTCATTGAGGCAACTGCTAGGAAGTACTATACAGTGCTTCTGAGGCCAATTTGGGAGGATGACTTGAGCCCGGGTAGTGGAGGTTGCAGTGAGCTAAGATGGTGCCACTGCACTCCAATCTGGGTGGCAAAGCCAGAAAAACAAAGAATTAAGAAAGAAGAAAAATAACTTACTTTCAAAGGATAACTATTTCCCACTGTTGAGAATACTGGATAAAACATATGAGACTTTACCAAAAAAAGCAACCCAGGGCCTGGCATAATGGCCATTGCCTGTAATCCCAACACTTTGGGAGGCCAAGGCGGGTGAATCACTAGGTCACGAGTTTGAGACTAGCCTGGCCAACATGGTGAAACACCATCTCTACTAAAAATACAAAAATTAGCCGAGTATGGTGGCACACGCCTGTAATCCCAGCTACTTGGGAGGATGAGGCAGGAGAATTCCTTGAAACTGGAAGGCGGAAGTTTGTAGTGAGCCGAGATTGTGCCATTATGCTCTAGCCTGGGCAACAGGAGCAAAACTCCATCGCAAAAACAAAAAAAAAAAAAAAGAAAGAAAAGAAAGCAACCCATTTCTAATCGTGAAGTCCAAATCTGGCAAGAGAAATTAATTATAAGAAGATGTCTTATTAGAAAGAACCAAAAGCCAGTTACAGTTGGCTCATGCCTATAATCCCAGCACTTTTGCAGGCTAAAGAGGGAGGACTGCCTAAGCCCAAGAGTTCAAGACCAGCCTGGTCAAAATGGCAAAACCCTGTATCTACAGGCACACATGATCATGCCAGGCTAATTTTTGTATTTTTTTGTTGTTTTTGAGATAGGGTTTGGGCATGTTTCCCAGGCTGGTCTTGAATTGCTGTGCTCAAGCAATCTGCCCACCTCAGCCTCCCAAAGTGCCGGGTTTACAGTCCTGCACCCAGGCTTTTTTTTTTTTTTTTTTTTTTTTTTTT